ATTTTCAACCATTTAATGATAAAAATTAAGGTAATCTTCCAGGACGAAATTTTATTTTAAGAGGGGCAAATAATAACCCCCCCCCCCCCCCCCCCAATCTTTTAAAATCATTAATTATGAAAATTAGGACCTTAGTTTAAAAGTATGGAAGTTAGAGGACCAAATTGCACATCGACCAATAGTTGAGTAACTACAAGGCAATTCCCTAAACTATATATTAATGATATAAATATTTTATGGTATACGTGTATTGATATAATTATGATTGATTGATATAGTTGTATGATTACTAGAATTACGTACATTTATATATGAATATAATTATGACCGATTTAATTTATTTCTAAATAAGTATGATCTGAATATTTATGGTATATAATTGTATATAATTATGATTGATTGATTTAATTGTATGATTACTATAACTATGTACATCTATATATGAATATAATTATGACTGATTGATTTAAATTATATAATTACTATAATTATGTACATCTATATAATATTATTGATTATGAAAAATTAAGTAAACTTCTATATATATAAAAGATAATTTCCATGTGTATAAAAGATAAATTCGAAAGATTCATTTCTAAATAAGTAAACTACCATATACATAAAAGATATCTAAATTTTAAATATGAATTACGATTTATGTGGCTTACTTATTGGAATAAACCAATAAAGTTGGTTACCCAAAAAGGCAAAAATCTGCCCAAATTTTCAGATTTTTGGTGGACTTTTGTGGCGATTTTTTGACAACTTCCGACCACCAAAATAGCCAAATTTTGAAACCGTTGAAAAGCCCACAATGTCCTCTTTAATTAGCATCTAAAATCTCCCTAAAACTCCAAAGGATTCGATCGGAATAAACTCATAAAGTTGGCATCCTAGGCTTTTGTCTTTTTGGGATGCCGACTTTGCGTGTTTATTCCGGCCGAATCCTTTGAAATTTGGGGGAGATTTTGAATAGTAATTGAAGAGGACATTATGGGCTTTCTAACGGTATCAAAATTCGACAGTCTTGGAGGTCGAAAGTCGCTGAAAAATTGTCGTAAAAGTCACCCAAAAATTTGAAAATCTCAACAGATTTTAAGATTTTTTGGGACGACTTTTGTGGTGCTTTTCCGGTCGAATTCCTTAGTGTTACGGAGAGATTTTGAGTGGTAATTGAAGAAGACGTTGTGGACTTTCCAACAGTATCAAAATTCGATGGTATCGGTGGTTGGAAGTAATCGAAAAATTGTCGAAAATGTAACCAAAAAAATTAAAAAAGTATTTTTCAACTTCAATGACCGTTTCAGAAACTTTTTAAACTTCAATGACCATTTTTGAAAGCGTCCCAATACTTAAATAACCGTTACTGAGAGTTTTAAACTTCAGTGACCGTTTGTGAAATTAACCCATTATCTTTCATAAAAGATTTATTTTACGATATCCAAAGAAAAAAATTTGGGTCTTTACATGCTGACCAGGATACGCACTAAAATGTCTTCAAAAACTTCCTTGAATTTTATATCTTCGAAAATAAATGTTACATTGACTTCATCATCATAAGGCTCCTCTCAAGAAATGCTCACCCGAATTTCCTAAAAAGTTGATATGCTCACTTTCAAGTTAATGCCATTAAACTGATTAAAGCTTTAAATGTTTAATGGCTGTCTGAACATCCTTATCTCCTCTTCCACTGCAGTTGAGGACAACTTTAGTTCCATCGGGAAGCATCGGGCACAACTTCTCTAGATAAGCCAGAGCATGAGATGTCTCAAGTGCAGGGATGATGCCCTCGAGCCTAGATAATCTCTCAAAAGCTGCATTACATTTACACAGGCAGATGAACACATTTAGTGTATGTAGGATGGTAGTTTTCTACAGAAATGGACCTCAATTACAAACAAAATCTAAGATTCTTCATTTTCGTTAATAATGTCCAATACTGTATAATTAATCCATCATACAAACAGATCAGTGGAAAAATGGAAGGTGAAGGGCAGGGAGCCAAACAATACATACCCCTTTACTGTTACTCCATCCAGAAAGACATAAAATAATTGCATATAGAGGGGAGGGAAAGCAATCAAAGGACTTGTACTCCATCAAGAATGACATGAAAGAATTGGACATAGAGGGGAGGGAAAAACATGAAAAAAAAGAGGACCTGTACTCCATCAAGAACGACATAAAAGAACTGGATATAAAGGGGAGGGAAAGCAATAAAGGACCAATGGTAGTTTATTAATCCAGTGTGACTATGTTAAAAAAGATAAAGCACGGACAAAATGGAATATTAAAGATCTCTTCTTACCTTCTAAAGCCTCCTCATCGGTGATGCTATAATACTCAGCACGTCCAATATCTTTCAGAAAGCTGTGCTCTGGTCCAACTCCAGGATAATCCAGGCTATGGAAGTGATAAAGAAACATTAGTCAGCAGAAATATATAAACTTAAATTATTTGTAGAAATGAGCACTATTTCACCCAGCACTAATAGAATGTGGCTCGATTATTTGCCCATCGTCATCCTGCAACAAGTAGCTCATAGCTCCATGCAAGACTCCAACTTCTCCTTTAGACAACGTGGCGGCATGCTTGCCGCTGTCTAGACCGAAACCAGCAGCCTCCACACCAATAAGCCTAACATCTTTGTCATCAACAAATTCATGAAAGAGCCCCATAGCATTTGAACCACCACCAACACATGCAACAAGCACATCAGGTTTGCCACCCCATTTTTCCAATGCTTGTTTCCTTGTTTCTTTACCAATCACTGCGTGAAACTCTCTTACCATCATAGGATATGGATGGGGCCCTGCAACAGATCCCAGGATGTAATGAGTTGATTCAACATTGGTTACCCAGTCTCGTATAGCTTCAGATGTAGCATCCTTCAGCGTTGCAGTCCCGGAATGAACTGGTCTTACCTGCATGTGAGTTCAGAAATTTTAAGTCAAAAGCAGCATTATAAATTGTATTCCTGAGCCATTCAAGCATTGTACATAAAATGTTCAGTTAAGTAATACACAGAAATAATTCTTCTAAACAATTCTCTTCTCCAAGCAACTGAGGTCTTGAAGCTGGTAAGTATACAGCCCCAAAAGTGAAAAATTCCAGCTGTCAAGAGGCTTATGCCTTGACATAATACCATAAGCAAGAGGGGCCTGGCGACGCTTTTTAAGACGCTGCTGCTAGTCTCTGAACTTGAAACGAAACCTATATCCAGAATGACTACTTTATGCAAGCAACAAAAACAATTCAAAAATAGAATGCATGCAGGACTCTTGCTGCATACAGCATCCTAATGAGCTGAATGCGAGAAAGTACTCCAAACCAACAATGATAAAATTGCTTTGCAATCACTGATCTGCACAAAGTTGTCCAAGTATGACAAAGGCATTAGACAAAAGATTTACCAGACCACTCGTGTGTGCTAAGAGAAGATTAATGTGTGGATATTCCAATTCCAATTAAATTGGATAATTAAAACAAACTAGTAAAAAGCTAATTGATAAACAGACCTCAGCTCCAAGGAGTCGCATTCTGAAGACATTGAGCGCTTGCCTCTCCATGTCCTGAGCACCCATATAGATTACGCACAGTAATCCAAAGCGAGCACAAACAGTAGCGGTAGCAACACCATGCTGACCAGCCCCTGTTTCAGCAATGATACGTTTCTTGCCCAGGCGCTTGGCTAGCAATGCTTGGGCAACAGCATTGTTGATTTTATGGGCCCCAGTGTGGTTAAGATCTTCTCTTTTGAGGTAAATATGTGGTCCTTTTCCATCAGGATGTTTATAATGCTGTGTAAGTCGTTCTGCAAAGTAAAGAGGAGTCTCTCTGCCAACGTAGTCTCTCAATGTCACATCTAGCTCTTTCTGCAATTAGTACAATCAGTCATACATTTCGATGACATATGGCGTTCTATGAATTAAAAGATAACGTTACTGTTACAGTTTCTTCAAAAATATTGGCTATGTTTGAATAATTTTTAGTATTAAGCTCCTGAAGTATAGAATTCATAGCTTGATCACGTTGAAAAAAATACCTATCTGTTTAATTTTCTGATATTCCATCATTTGTCTAGACAACATATCAAAATTAAGTAAAATCCACTTTTCAAAATACAATTCAGAATAGAAGTTACTATAAGCTCATTGACATAATATACTAATGTGAGGGTTACGAGCATTTTCCGCAAAAATTTTAATAGAGAGAAGAAAAGGCAGTAAAACTACTAAACCAGCAAACAGTTTAATCAAATCACCCTACAAGGCGCTTGACACAACGTGTTCTCAACACAAAATTGATTTTTCCAATTAAAATTAATAAAAAAAGTTAGCAATCGAGAATCCTCATCAATTAATAAATCACGAATTGATATACAGAAAAATAAAATATGAATTAAATATTCATTCGGCAAAAAAAAAAAAAAAAAAATTCTTTAAGCAAGACCTGAAATTCCAGGTCAGAAGCGAGGGATTTGAATGCGGTCTCAAGCTCCGTGAGGGCGTACATTAGGGTTTCAGGAACATATTTCCCACCAAACATACCGAACCGGCCAAATGAGTCCGGCCTCTGCATAACCACCGGTTCCAGTTGCTGTTCCGTCATTGCCATTGGCTGATGTTTGGCCAGGGTACAGAAAATAGAATGAGGTTTTGGATTCAAATCGCAAGGAGGTGTAATTTTATCCACTTTGAGAGGCAAAAGGGAACGCGAATCGGCGGAGGAAGGGAGGTGGGCTGGGGTTCTGTAAGATGCAGCGGAGGAGAAGGCCATGTTTGTATGATTTTAAAAATGTAAGTGAAAGAAAATGATAAAAATGAGATTTACTTTTCTATGCGGAGCCTTTGCCGGCTTGCTGGGTTAGGAAATTTAGGAGGGGGCAATTCCGTAAATTCACATTTGGGTTTAATTGGCCCACATATCCCAGCCCAAAATTCAAAAGACCAATGCGTCACCGGCCCCCAATTAATTTCAGTCCATCGTTTTTCTCCAAATTCCCCATTGAATGCTACATGTACAAAGTAGCTTGACAAAGGAGGGTTACAAAGTGACGTGTACGGTTCAGATTTAAGAGCACTGGACGGCTGAGATTTTGGCAGTTATCTTACTGACCCATTCAGAAATTCAAACACCATTTCCTCCCATTTGTGATCAATTTTCACATTGCTTGTTTCATCGACGAATCCGGCCTCTAGTCCATCTTCTCCATCTCCGAAATCGGGTACGGTGTGAATTTTTGGTTGAAGCTCCCGACGTCGTCCCACTCCAAATCAAAAGTGGAAAGATAAAATAAAAATACCTACCAGAGCTATACATACAACCTCCTGTATGTATATTAGTTTTGAGAGAGAGAGAGAGAGAGAGAGAGAGATCTAAGCTCGACAACTTCAACTTTTTCTCCAAATCAGCTCAATTTTGTAGTTTTTATTGGTAATTTTTTTAATTTTCTTTTCCTTTTTTAAATAACGAGGTGAGAAGGGTTCTAAATGTTGGGGAAATATGGGTTATTTTCGGTTGGTGGCTAATGGTGGAATGGATTCAGTTTGCATCTTCTTTAGTTAGTTTGCATCCTCTGTAATTTTCTCCCAATTGTATTACCCCATTTAGGGACAAATTCTTCTGTCTGAATGTTTTCATTATTCTTCTCATTATTTTCATTTGTAGGCAATCCCTTTGGCGACCCGAACGTTATTGGTGACTCTTACTGCACTCTCTTTGTAGGCCGTCTCTCTCCCCTCACAACTGAAGACACTTTCTGCCAGGTACCCTTTTTCTTAGATTTGTTAATTTATCCAATTGAATTGAAATTGTTGGTTCTTTAAAGTTTTTTGATCATTTTGTTTCTCTTTGAATATATGTGGTTCAATTTATTACTTTTGTTTGTTTTCCCAGGTGATGAGCAAATATAGAAGGGTCAAGAACTTGTGGCCGGTCAGATATATAGGTGATTTCCCTTTATGTTTTCCTTGAGTGTTTTTAACTGAATAGACCCATAAGTTGTTTGGTTGATTTCCTTAGAGGGAATCCCCTACTTTAATATGTTTTAAGGCTTGAGATGAATGTTGCCTAGTACTAACATATATTTCTTCCCTACTAATTAGTGGAACTCTTTAGATATCGTCTATCTTAATATACAGATATACGAGACGAATGAGACGTCGAGATTTCAGTGAACGTGACATTTCACAATGAGAAAGGATGTGCAGAGGAGTTTGGGAAAGGAAAGGACCCAACACAGCGTGTTTAGTAGTTTGTTGTCGAACGAGTTGTAATTGCGTTGTGTTCGTTTTGTATTTGCTATCGAGAAATGGTGTTTTGAGAGCAACTAAGTATTTGGCAGATGTTTACAAGAATAGCTCTGCACCATTTTTATAACTGTTGTATGTGTTTTATTTTTATTCCTTGAAGCCTAAAGAATTTAATCCTTTGCGTTTCAAGTAACAACTCTGTTTCGGCATTACATAATAGCATTTCAACGTGTTAGACCAATCAGCAACATATGTGTGCAAAACAAGACCACTAGTTTTGGTATATTTTAAATGATATGCTAACTTTCTATGTGCATACAGTAAGTTAGCTTGATCTCAGTAAAACTCAGTAAAACAATATGCATTCATGACAACTCTCATTCATGAGTGAAATTTATGTTTTTATGCTGAACCTGAACAAATGAGCTAAAACTTGATGTTCTAACTAAAAAAGCACCACAACAGGAGAGAGACTACAATTGCAATGCACCACATATTTCGAACTAAGCTACCACATTTGGAACCATTTGCTCTTCATCAATTAAACAAAACAAGATTTAATGATATTCACATATCTCACATAGTCCAACTAACAACTACAACCAAAAATTTTGCAATTCCAGCATAGTTCCTAATTGTACCAATAGTCCTGATATCGCATTCCAGCACTACTGTTATCGCATTGCAGCACCAACCTCAAGGACAGTCAAACCATCTCCTACTACCATCTCATCTTCCAGGACATTCATATTGTCCTCCACATTCTCATTTTCGGAATCAACGGACAAAACTTCTTCCATATTTGGCTGACCCTGCAAAACATTGACACTCAACCAATATTTACGTGTTCAAAAAGCCCAACTTTGAGTGGTTTATTTAAGTACATAAATAACAGGTCAACAATATTGGAATGTCATCTAAGTACTGGCTATTCCCAGCACATCATTACAACATTTTTCGTATCTAACACTGAGAATCCCATGTGGCAACAAATTTATAATGCAAAACCACGAAAGTTTCCGGTAAATAATTCCTTCAACGAATCAATGCAATGAATTCTTGAATATTAACAACTACACTATTGTTTTTTCCTAAATGAATCGATATTTTTTCCTTTGGCTAATGTATATTTTATTTTATTTTATTTTTTGCTGCAGATACCCAGCTAACATTACTCTCCTAAGTGGAAATCATGAAAACAGGAAATTCACTCAGTTAAATGGAATCAGTATATAAGTTCAAAGTGGAAATACAAGTGCACATAAGGGTAAATGTTTCAGCTATTTTTTGAATCATTTGGAAAAAAATAAGAAAAAGCAGAATTTTTGAAGGAAGGAGCAAGTAGTAGCTGACTTATGACCGACTGATCGAGGGAAAAACTTTTAGCATTTTTTCAAGTTTTTAGGGATGAGGAGTCTAAAGTATTTTCCTTTCTCCTCAATTTTATTCTTGTCCTCTTTCCCCTTTTGGTTGGAAAACTCAAATGGACGAACTGAGTTTCTAGTACACAATGGAAAACATTGCATTATCACTTCATCACAGACGGATTCGGTCATAATCCATAAATTCATACCCAATTCGTCACTTGGCCACCACCTTCCTTCTGGATTCTCAGACCGATTTCAAGCTAAGCTCAGCTACACCTTCCTGCAATGTCGAAACCCCTAATTTCGCTCCAACTCGCTGTTAATGTAATAAGTAGATTGGGTTAAGGGTAGTTTATACTTTTACATTTCCTTAGTTTTGTACTATATAAACCTTTGTATCTTGTATATGTTTGCCCTAAGTTTGTTGGCTGCTATCGATCGATTCCTTCTTCCTCTCCATTCTTCACTTGGTCCTTCGATTAATTTATTTTTGATTTGTTGTTTTCTACACTCGCAACCCTCCACTCTCTAATTTTGTTAAAATCTTGTGAGTTGATTAGCGAGAGCTGGGGAGACAGAGCACGATGGGGAGAGAGAGAGAAATTACCACCATTTTAAAAATTGTGTTTTTTTTAATACCAAGTTGCAAGAAAACCAATTTGGCGCCACTTTCCATTATTGTCAACATAAAATCCGAACCGTCCATTTCCTTCCATTTGAGCCGTACACGTCACTTTGTAAAGGAACTTTGCAGCCCCACTTGGTACAACAAGCATTTGTGGGTGCTCATAATTGCAAACTGACGGCGATGGCCGAAAATTCACAGTTGTACTTGTATCCTGTCAAAAACTTTGCCGGCGCCGCTCATAATTGCAAACTGACGGCGCTGGCTGAAAATTCTTTTTCTAGTGAGTGCTCAAACCCTCTACAAGGGACGGAGCTCTTTTTACTGTTCAGTAATCAATACAAGCCCATGGAATACTTTGGATCCCCTTCTTTCTCGGCTAATTGAAAATAATTTGTAGGGTATGAAACTATGAATGACAAATGCCAGATATAATCATGAAATTCTTAGTTTCTGTTTTTCATCTTCAAATTTGCCCTAATTTTTCCCTTTTTGCTGAAACTAAACAAAAGAACCCGACTACTAACCATAAACGGTAGAAAAGAAAGAAATCAAGAAATAGGGGTGATTTGATTCAAGGTGTTTCAAGTACAAATTTTTAATAAGCGCGGGAACTAAAGATTCATAATATAATTTGTTGCTTTTTATTCAAAGAATATCAAACAGGTAACATATATAGACTGCAAAAGACGCAAATCAGTGTCTTTCAGTGTGTGTTCATGTCCGCGCGTGAAAGAGAAAGAGTAGCTGTAATCTGATGGATTATACTTTACTTTATTGTTGATTTGATTTGGTAGGTATTTTATTTATTTCCATTATCTGTTCTGGCGTGGAACTACCTGAAAGACTAAACTGTGTGCTTTATGTCTATCTGAAGTGTTAAGAGTAGCATGTTTATAATGTTTTCTTTCACCATTACTATAATTTGGTGATTAAAGTGCTTTTATTTTTAAACTTGATTTATATCTCATAGTTAGTCCTCCGTTGCCGATTAATTTTTGAACCAGAAATTTCATGAATTTCGCGTCTTTTATATTGCTTTGATTCTGATGTAGCAAAAGAATATGGGTGTCTGGGACCTTGTCTTCATTGACTGGTTTTGGTGCTGTTGTATAGAATAGCAAAACTTGTATAGTGGTGACCCTGTGCTATTCTTCTCCAAGCTATAGAGTTAAAACTTATATTTAGTTGTAAGGTTTCTTTGCCTGACTTTATGCATATCTTCATGAAATTTAGCAAAAGAATGTACAAGTGGTTCTTTCGAAAATGTCGAAGATACCAAAGATACATTTTCTCATGATTGTACTCTTGAGTTTTGATGAATTTGTGATGTTAAGGAGAGAACAGGAGGATTAACTAAGAGGTTGAATTTGATCAACCATAAACTATTTTTTGTTTGAAGTTTAAGGAGGATTGGTTAATGACTTTGGAATTGTGACGGGAATAAGATTTACAATTTTGGATGCCTGATGGTGGTTGAGAATTTGTGTATTGGCATTTCCCTCGTTGTTCACTTTACTTATTTAGGTTCCATGTCAATCTTTTCCTTTTAACTAGCCTTAATGTACGTAGCCTGATTATTCAAGCAAAGTTTTAAGGCATTTTCTTTTTATCGTATTTGGAATTTGCTGATTTCCCAAAAAACTGCAAAGTGCAAACTTCAAGTCTCCATCCAACCTTCTGCCCTTCATTTTTCATCCTATTTGGCCCATTTTGGCCGCAACCTTAGTGGATTATGTTATATTTTGACTTTTCCATGATGTATATATTTTGCTCATACATTAACTTATAAAAATTTCAGCCCCTGACTTATTGTTCTAGGTCCGCCACTGAAAACCCAATTGAATTTGACAAGAATTGATGATAATTTTAATGGGTTTGTGGATATTTTAGTTGATTTTTTGCTTTCACCGTTTGTGGTTTTGAATATGAGATTTTCTATTTCAGTTGAATACAAATGGGTTCAGAGATTGAAATAACTGAGCAGAGAGTTAAATCGTATATTGTTCAGCTCCAAACAGAATGTGGGATTCTTGGAAGAATTATATACAAAAACAAGAACCAGCATCGAAGATGTTCTTACTTTCAATATCTTCTAAAGGTTGCCAGTGTCTTACTTCTCATGCCTAATAAGTATTTGTGTTCATGTTGCGTGTTTAAGTTTTGTGTGATTGCCGATTGACGCGCCTTTTGTTATTTTTGAATGGATAGGTTAGCATGGATTTGAGACTTTTGAAATCAGCAAATATGGAGGAGATTTTGAGTGCCTGTTTTCTCATAATAATTGGGAATAGACCTAAGCAAAAGGTGCAGCTTTTGGAAAGGTAGTACTTTATGTATTTTTGCCTTCTCATTGGAATTTTGTATATTATAGTCTTACACTTAACCGTGGCTGCGGAGCACTCTACTGAGAGCAGCAGCTGTGGATTGTGGAATTCACTGATGGAACAAAATCTGAGTAATAGCCTGTGTCATTTGGAATATGCTTGGATTATGTCAGATATAACTTTGTCATGTATTTTTATGCTCACACGTTGCACATATCAATAGTTTGAAATCCTAGTTTTGTTTGGCTGTCCAGAGAAGTATAAATTATTAAATTGCGCTCCAGTGAAGACATGATTGTAGGACAGGTTGATTACTTTTCTTGTGTACCCCACCATTCCTCATTGCACGTTTCTTGCAATCTATGTTTTCTACTTATATATATGGGCAAGTATGGCATGAGGTGTTGTTCTTACTTCCTTATACTTTGTTAATTTACAGAAGATCCATACTAAAGTTGTAATAAACTAAAAATATTTTAATAAACTAAAAATATTTTCTTTCAGTTTCGGGTTTTATGTGATTAAATATGAACTATAATTTGCGCAGCATTAGCAAAGTATAATACCAAAGGATAGTTCGTCTTATTTATTTTATTATTTATGTTGTGGCTTTAGTTTGAAGAGGACAAGGTGCGATAGTGGCAAGTATAATGTTCTGGATCGGCTTTTAGGAGTTGCACGCCTATTGTCGCAGGTTGATTGTCTCTTTTATTTAATTTATGGTTTTTCCATCACATGATTAAGCCAATGTATGAATTATCTTCTAATATTTTTTCTTGTTCCATCACAGATGGTGGAGCCCGTGGTGGAGGCTGCTATGTATCCTTTCAGTGCAAGTTTTAACTATGTTCATAATGTTTGAAGTTTTCTGTCAACATGCAAGAATCATTGTCAGAATATTTTATAGGTTTTACATGATTTGTTATAATGGTATATGTCTCTGGAATTATCAGAAACTAAGCTACTTACATCCTTGAAATTAGATATAACGTTTCGCACATTGTCAGCTAGAGCATTTCTTTAATGTTTGCTACAACACGAAACTCCATCATTTGACAGAATGCTTTGTGTTGTAATTTCTATGCGTGTTTATTGGCTAACCAACTTTTTCGTTATATATTTTCTCTAAAACTTTTGCCAACCATACATTTCTGATCCATAGAATCTGTCATATTTTTTTTTATACTACACTCTAGGTCCGCTAGTCTTTACACAATATTTTATTCTCTTCCCCCGTTTAATGAACTGCGAGGGTTTTCCTACCTAGACCTCTGTCCATTTGTCAAGTTTCTCTGTCCTCTTGTTTCTATTGGCCAGTATGTGAACTTTTTTGTATTAACTTCTCTAGTTCAATCATTTGTGATAAAAGTTGTATTATAAAATTTCTGCTTATTTGCTTGATTTCTTTGATTTTTGTTTATGCTTTTTGTCTCAAAGAAAGCATATCCAGAAAACATGTTGTTTGATGTAGTTATTACTCTAGATGTTTCTTTATGTGCCTGTGGGAAGTTGAATTCAGCTATTCATCATCCACTTTTTCTCTTAACGATCTTAAGGGAGATATCCAAGCTGCTTGCTCGATCATTTTTCATGGGATTTTCCGTAACGATCTTTGCTGTGCTTGCACGCCTTCGAGCATTGGTTCAACAAGTAAGTATTTCTCATTTTATAAGACTATATCTTACTATTTTAATTGGAAAATTTGCGTATTGTCTAAAAAGGACCCTCGGAATTATGAGTTTGTATGACGATATTTGGATTTATTGGCTGAAATAGGCAATATTGTGCAATAAGATATGCGTGGGTATGTGATAATCATAGGCCACGTATGCATTGTACGCACAGAACCTGCATTATAGTCATATGCTACGTATACATTCTTTTTCCTCTTTTATTTGGGGGCAGAGGTGCAAGGCTTAAGGTATCTGGTGTTTGAAAAGAAAGGGCACTAGCATTGTGGGATTCTGGATTTCTTTTGAACCCCGAGTTCTTGGTTATTACGTAAGAAGTATTCGGACCTTGAAAGTTTTAATAAAATTTTCAAGTTAGTGGTGTTGTCTTTTCAGTTAATTTATATATATATATATATTTTGGCAGGTTCTTCTGGATGCTGTTTATGTATTCAATACTGTCTCTTCTATTTCTCAAAAGGAACAAACTATAAAACTAAATCAAAAAGGATTCGAGGTATTTTAAGTACTCAAATAAATTATTCTTCATTTGTCTGCACAATTTATTTATTTTTTTATGCTTTTTTCTTTTCTGCATTTATCATTTTTCCACCCTGTTCTGCAGTTCATGGCATAAAATTCCTCTTTTCTATCCCCTTAATTTGCAGGTTTTCAGAGAATATTATCCAACCAAAAAGCAAGCTACTACGTTTCTAGAATGTGTTTGGCAGACAGACAAGTATGTCTTAGTTGAGAGGATGAATACAAGTGAAAGTAAAAGCCAGGAAAAGGATGTCGGAGAAGATGTCTTTTTAAGGTCCTCCAAAATAATATATAAAAACATTGAGGTTTTACTTGGAGGTAACAGTGGACTTAAATAAATTTTTGTCGTTTGATAGAATTTTTTTCAGCATCTACTGCTATGTTTCATGAGGTGGACTAGACAATACACAATAGTATTAAGAAAGGGGAAAATGCTAAATTGTGTAGATACTTATTAGTAAAGTATTAGTACTGAGCTCGTGCTAAATGTTTTAAAAACTCGAGGAATAAATCAAAATTTAGTGCTGGTATGTAATGACTACCATATCCAAGCTTTGAGCACGTGATCGGCTATGGAAATCCAGGATGCTCTGGAGTTTTTAGTTCTTATCATTTTTTGTAGTGTAACTCTTGCTTGGCTATTGTACCATTCTGGGTGGAGCACCATTTCCATTCTTATCATCCTTGTAACTCTTCCATTATAATTCCTTTAACATCTTCCTGAAGTAATTATATCTTTGTCAAATAGTATCCTGAAAGTGCAAGAAGGTAGACTTGGCTTCTGATACATGTCCTTCCAGTCCCGCTAGTCAAGTGTACAGTAATTAGAAAGATATTTATGGTAGAAAATTTCCAGAAATAGTTTTGCTGAAGTTCTGAGCTGTTGACATGTATTTGCTCCTTATAATATCTGTTTACAGTTAAAGTTTGCTGTCCATTATTCTACTGTTCATTTACTGTATTTTGTCTTCTGGGACACAGCTAATGGACTTTATATTGCCTCTCTCATCTTCCAATCAGTGTGTGGCTTTCTTCAGTTTTTTCATTCCTTGGTTTTACTGCTAAATATAGGAATTTTTCATGCTATAACTTTATTCCACCTTCATTCTATTTTTGTGTAGTTGATGAACTTTCTCATTATTCATCTGTCTGCACTTGTTTGAATACTCTTGCTAAATATGTTTATTCCTTGCCTTGCCTTGCCTTGCATACTTGATAATCCAGTTAGAATGGATGCTGCGCATATTTTGGAAGAAGGCCCGACTAATGCTCAAGAAATGAATACTAGTTCTGTAAAAGGTGACGAAAAGCAGGGCAAAGTTGCCTCCGGTACTCTAGCCCCGTCAAGTGTGAATACGGTTCCTTCGGAAGAACCCTCTACATCTGTTGAAATAGACAGTAATATTTTATCACTGGTGAAAGTTGGCAAGATTAACCATGAAATGCAGGTTGAAAGTGATTCCCATGACAAATTTTATTGTTCAGAAGCTGCATTATCCACATGTTCGACTGCATCTCCGAGTTCATGTCCTGTAAAATTTAAAAGTTCATCGAAGAAGGTGGCGTTTGTATCCATCAAACAGCCAGTACCATCAACGTCTGACCAATCGGGTTCCCATATAAAAAGAATAAAGAAGAATGACACAGATGAGGAAGATTCATTTTTCAATCTACTTGCTGCTGGAAATCAGAATAAAAGTCTCTTCTAGTATTCACCCAAGAATTTTGTTTTTCTTTTTATCATTTGCTTTGTAAAGATGTACTCTTTAATTCCAACATTAGCATGCGGAAATATTGAAATGATATTTAAATATGTATACTTGAGTAATTTCTAATTATATATTGTTTTATAAAAGTAGAGTTGAAACAATATATCGATTAAAATGGATATTAATCAAAATTATCCAAATTATAATCTCACTTGCGGACATTTAAATACCCCAACTTTCGTATTTGAAATAGGATTATGCCACTTTGTAAGGATTTTGATAGATACAGTGATGGAAGTGTGTGTGATAATAGATGATGGGGAGTGTTTTTCCTACCAATATTTTTGACAAAAAATTCTTGACCCTTAATTTAATTTAAGGCTATAGATGATTTAATTAAAATTGAAATGTACAAATGGAAAACCCCACAACACACTTCCACTTCCAATATGACCCTTTTGCTTATACTCTTGTTCCATTATTCAATCTCAACATACTATCCCATAACTATTTTTCTATCCATAAAGTTTGAATCTGTAAGCAGCTGCTTCGATTTCTTGGCCCGTATTGGCGTACAATACTAGTCAGGGGCGGAGCCAGGATTTTAGTTCAGTGCGGACAAAAATTTTTCGACGACGAATGTCGAGGTTTTGACCATAGATTTAATGATAATAAAAAAATAAAACAATAATACAACAATACTAAAAACGACATAATTTATATATTACACTTGTTCCTTGCGAGTTTTCATACTTCGATATCGTTGTACAATAACTTCATTATCGAGTTTCAAAAATATATCTTTCTTCACATAAACAATTGTGCTATCATTCATCCACTGATCACCCAATTATTACTAGGAGTGGGAGTAATTTAGAATGTCAAATGAATCACAAATACTGGAAGCAACTCACAAAATTCAGTGCAATTCACAATTTCACATAATCAATTCACAGTGCATTTCACAAATTTCACATAATCAATTCACAGTGTAATACGCCAACACCTATATATACCATTTGTCTAGTGCAATTTACAATTTCACTTAATCAATTCACGGTTCAATACTCCAATTCACAATTTCACATAATCAATTCACAATGCAATATTTACTATTTCCAAATTCTAGGCAACTTGAACTTACAATCACAGATTCCCAGAGAGCTAGAGCCCAGAGGCAACAATGAACTGGTGATCCACTGGAAGTTTGTGCTGCTTCGAGCAATTGAAGAACAAAGTGCTAATTTCGTATACTAAAAACAAAAAGAAAAAAAAATATTATTACAATTTACACAAATAAAAATAACAAAAAAAATACGGGAAAAAAATTTGGGGCTTCACCTTCTGCTTTCTGGAATCTAGCTTCTTCTTTTGCTGGCTCGCCCGGTTGGCATTGGCACTTGGCGCCTTGGCGGAGTTGAGTATGTAGAGTCGGAGTCAGAGATGTGAGATGTCAAGATGAGAGCCTAGAGTAGGAGATGTACAATAATGGACTGTCAAACGACTGTCGGAGACGACGATTTACAGAGAGGGAAGGGAATAACGGGCATTGTCACGGGTGGAGAGGGAAGTGGGTGGCGAAGTGCGAAGTCATCACAGACAAAGTCACGAAGGGTTGAAATTTTGAAATGAATGAATGGGTTTGGGTCAACAATTGATTCAATTGAATTCTGATATGAATGGATCTAAAACGGGTCATGGCATTGCACAATTGGGCTTCTCTCTCTGGGCTAAATAGAGAATTGGGTTAAAAAAAAATTATTTTGGGCCCAAAAGTCATTGGGTTAAAAAAAAATTAAATTATTTTGGGCCCAAAAGTCCAGTGCGGGCATCTATATAGTAGCTCCGCCCACGATACTAGTCGAATACAAATTACTACACGTCCTGGGACACTCAATCTTTAACTTCATCGTTTTGTGGGGAATTTTACAAGGATGGTGAGGAAGAGGTTGGAGGGTTTTAAATAAAGAATACTTTGATATTGACTAAGATTATGTTTCATGAATTAAAATTTTCTTTTAATAAATTTATGAGTATTTTAGTCCTAATTTTTATGGATTATTCCACATTTTGAAGTTGAGAGTATTTCAAGATAGCTATTTCTCCAGTAGACCATTTGCTTCGATCTTCGTGCTTGAAACTTCCAGCCTCCAGGATTGAATTCATGCAACGTCAAATCTAAATTAATTAAAGAATTTTTAACCGGAATATATGAATTCATATCTATAACTCTAATTTATCCCAGAATTTCAATCAACCGCAGGTATTGATGTGATGCTCTAATTTACCCTAAAAATTTGTGTTGGCTATATCATTTATGTTCCAAATCTGGAATGAAAGATTGTTGAATATAATAAACAAAGGGTAATATGGGTTTCGAGTGAGTTTTAATGCAATAGTGGAATGTAAATGGATTGCCATTTCAAGACCCGTTTCTTGTATCTATATATTCTTCTTGTATCAATTCGAGAGAGAGTGAGAGAGGGGTAGGGAGAGGACAAAGGAAACAAAGATTATGGGGAGTGGGGGTGTGTTGTGTGGAGTTTTCCATTTTTGAATTTCAAAGGATTTTAATTAAATTATCTATAACGTTAGATTTTGTGTGGAGTTTTCCATTTTTGAATTTCAAAGGATTTTAATTAAATTATCTATAATGTTAGATTAACTTAAATTAAAGGTTATGTTTTTTTGTCAAAACTATTTGTAGAAAAAAAAAGGTTATTTGCAATCACTCATTACGACAATAACCCTTCGTAGTATACACATGGCGGATAGTTATTTGATGTATGAGTTAATAACTATCACATTAATACATTTAATAACTAACTGTTTTGTATATGTCATATAGGACGACTGCGATAATAAATGATTACAAATAGCATTACTTTTGTCAAAAGTATTGGTAGGGGAAACCCTCCACATAGACGATTGTATGAAAAAATTGACAATGTTTTACACTGTTCAATGATGAAATGTCAGTTGATAATATGCCAGCCTTTCTATCAACTTATCTAGCATTGTAGCATGATTGATTTAAATTTTTTGTTTAATTATTGGAATGGGGCCCCATGAGACTTATTAGATGTGATAGTTGTTGGAAAAAATGGGTAATTTATGTGTAGATAATTTTTTGATTAACATAATAAACAACAAATACAATTCGATAGTAATATAAACATAATAGAAGAGTTAGAAATGCAAGTTTTAGGGAGTCACGTCAATGAGGCTGTTCTAAAGTCGTGTTGCTTCCCCTTCGTGCGAGTACTTTCTGTACTACGCGGTTTCAAGATAAAACACACATGACTTACAGTCAGTTCTCTATATATGGGCACGATCATAGAGAGATAAAGAACAAGCTTTTATCGGATTGCCAAAATATAAGAAAATATTATGAAATAAAGATGTGGTTATTTTTTTAAGTTACGGTTTCTCATGTTATCTATCTCAATGAAAATCACTCCCTTTTATGTAGGTAAATTTAACATCCACAACCATACCATTAAAATACAAGTTACAACATGTATTATGGTGTTTTAATTTTATGTTAAAATTGAAAATTAAATTATTTTAATTTGAAAGATTAAAACTTTAATTCTTAAGTTACAACAATCCCCCACAAGTTTTAAATTTTCAAAATAAATAAATAAATATATGTAATATATAGTGGCAACGTTATACTGTGTAATATGTGTGGGTGCCATTTGGGCTTGAACCTCACTTAATGATAACAATTTCCATTTGATGGAGTCATAATGGACTAAACTTTGAATTAGGTCCCTTTAGTCAAATTTCAATTGTTCTACACATGGTATCGATTTAGGCTCTAATTCATATCGGGTAGCGCTCTAATCATGATTATAATAAGAGTCTTTAAAGAATAGTTCAATCCCATAGTCACAACCTTATGGCAACTCTTATATAAGTGAGTTCTCTAAAGGTGCGTGTGACCTCGCAATGAGTAGAAATCATACTTATTAGGAGTTAAACCTTTCCTAATATCACATTTGTTATTAGCACTATCACCATAGGAATGAGCACAAATAATATAGTTCTACTACAATTCACACAGTATGGATCGCTTCTACCACATTGAACATTTTTCATAGAATTTCCAATCACCAAGATTGGATTACTGTCGGGTTGACTCCCTTATGGGCTTAACTCATCTCCGTCAATGATTTATGTAAATCTATCATGGACTATACTTTATTTCATGTCCCTTTTGGACAAATAATTTGGTACCATCAATATTTGCAAGCTTTTATTCTCCGCCTGTACATCTGCAAAGTTATTTAAGAAATTTTCAAATTATTAATATCACATAAGATAAATACATGAACGGTCTAATTTTGACTTTTAGGAACACATTTGGGCTGATGCATCTATTAAACTCTTGTATTTCGCATGCAGTCCGACGACAATTTTCAAAAATTAATTTTACAAGTAAGGATAATAAAAATTTTAGATGTATCTACCTGAAATTTTGAACACCCCCACATTTCAAAGGTATTAAACTTGTGGAACATTTTTACCACATTTCATAATTGCATTTTTTTCTTACCTTCCTCGTACTTATAGGCAGGATGTCACTTACTATAAAGTAGGAAAGGATGTCATCTATTACATGACATGAAAATTCTATGTATATGATTACTGGTCAAAATTAATGTGCCGCGTAATCAATATGATTTAATTAAATGGATTGTCATTTAATCTATTTGACAAGACTTTATGAGCTTCGTGATTAGTCCAAATATAAATATATACCATTAATCCTCAAACTTGGACAATATGAACGAACATATTGACACTCATGTATCACAAAACATTAACCAATAAGAATTAACATAACTATAAAGTATCAAATATGGTTTAACAACATTGATCTAAGTAAACATGCTTTCATAATAATAAAATCAGCCTTAGATATGAAATATTTGCAATTTTATACTCCAAATTAGCTAAACACTGTGTCCAAATTTAATTAGACCTAAAACTTATTTTCAAATATAGTACATCAAATGTACCGGTAAAAGAAATATTATTTCGATTAAACACAATCACATTAAATTCTAGCAGATATAGAATATATCCCAAATTCATGGTTCTCGGCATTCACTTTAATAACT